CGAGGCCTCCGCTCGGGCGGTCCCGCAGCAGGAGGCCCTGTGCGAAGGCCGCCGGGGCGAGGACTGGAGCACGGGCAGCAGCGTGGCCCTGTGAGCCTCCAGGGTGCCCCGGGTCCCAGGCACTCGCTGACGGGGCCCACGCTACAGAAAGGGGAGTCTGCCCATCGCTGCCATGGAGTAGGAGCAGGACAGCAGAGGCTTCACCAGAGCTGCAGACACGGGCGCCCTAGACCAGGCTGTCATTAGCTAAGGCAGCTCCTCAGGATCAAAGAACAAGCTTGGAAAAGGGAACTGAAGCCTCTCCCTAAGTAGGAGAGTCCCTGGATATGTCCGAGATGCAACTCGGCATTCAGAAGATGTGATGTGTGCAAGGATTCCACCAGGAGCAGTGGCTACCAAGGCCTGTATTGCCTGAGCAAAGGCTCATGCTGGGATGTGGGGTCAGGACTCCCAGGAAGGAGACAAAACAGGGAACCAGTCAAAACATCTCTGCTTCTGCCATGCTGCCTTTTCAGCCACATTCCCCATGTGTGTCCTGCGAGGACGCCACAGCATGAGCCCTGTACCTCCACAGTCCTGTGTGGCAATAATCCCTTAGAGGAAAAGTCCTACTCTCAGTTGTCCATGGGAGGAGGATGCTCACTGCCTTTCCTGGAGGAGGGTCTGGCCCCATTTGTGCACTGGCTATCAGCACAATCCAGCTTCCTACCCAGTCACCACAGTTGCTTGTGCTCCCAACGCAAGGGAGCTGCAAAGGAACACAAAAGTTTTCAGCACACCATGTGGCATTACTAATGATGGCCATATTTCTGGGTGGAGGTCCCAGAGTGTGTCATTGCTACCCAAATTTCCCTAAACAGATATTTTTCTTCTCACCAAGTGAGGAAGGTTACAAATGTTGTGGGAAAGCTGATGTGGCAAAAAGACGTGCAAATAGAGCAAGCAGGAYAGAACAGCCGAGGACACGGCACCTTGGTGGCAGCATCCCTGGGCTGCTCTTGGTGGCGCAGGTGGGAGCAGACCCCAGGGCCTCTACAGTGTGGTCCAGCAGCAGCAGGGGCAGGTCAGTGCCTCTCCCGGGTGGCACAGCCAGGTATCAGGATCCTCCCTGGGAAACCATGGCCAGGCAGGTCCSAGCTGCGCCGGATGGAGCTGCAGGCCGGGCACAGAGCGGCTGGCGAGTGCCATGCCRACGCAGAGCCGGCGCTGCACGGGAGCAGCCACGTCGCAGCTGGCTGCCACCACCGCACTGCGCTCGCACATACCTGACCCTCCACTGCACCTCTGAAGAGGGTTTCTTCGGCCTGCAGGTGACAGGAGCACACCGCTGCAGCGCCCTGCCCCTGCCGTGCAAGCCAGCGGTCATCTCGCTCACCAGGCCAGGAAGGAAACACCGTCGAGTTGCCCGATGCATTTAACACACCAAAAGCCAGGGCTGGTTCTCTGAAATGGGTTAAGTGGTCAGGTCCCCTCCCTCTAAGCAGGGGGTCATGGTGCAGGCAGAAGGCACCATGGTGCATGGTGCAGAAGAATGCCTGCACCATGAACACTACAGTAACAGGCCTAAGCCCACAGCCTAGATTTGCATGTCCCAGGGCTTGTCAGCAATGATGAGACAGAGATGGATGACAGCAAGCACAGGTGACTGCACCTAATTCTTCAGTCCACAGAAAGGAACCGGAAGGACTGTAGGGGTAGATGCTGAACAGCCACAAGAAATAGCAGGCATCTAGAGCCTCTTGTCTCTCCTCTAAGGAGACCTCACATGCTTGGGAGTACAAAATCTTACAGGATGCCTGCTATGCACACTGAGCCTATGACATTTAATAAGCTTGAGCTGCCCAAGTGTGACAGACACCAACAGAGGAGAATCTGCTAAGATTAGCATGAGTAGATTTCCCCCTTTTTCCTTCCTTCAAAGACCATCCTTCTTGTAAGCAACTGAATAGGCACCTAGGGCAACAGACAGAAGTGTCTTCCAGAAGTCCTGGTGCATCTTGAGCTGGACACCAGCCAGGAGGATCCCAGGCATGCAGAGCTCGTCTCCACAGTTTGATCTGCATGTCCCAGGAGCGGCGGCTGTATTTCTTGTACTTATTTGGAGTTTGAGGGTGAACACCTGGCTGTCGAGCAGCCCTAAGAACAAAGCACAGTATCATTAGCAGTAATGAACCTTGTTGAAACTCTCTTATCCAGCAGCAAATCTTCCCATTCCCCACAAGAGCCAGAAAGCCACAGAGAAACACCCAGCTGCCATTCTGGCAGAAGACTGACAGAGCATGAGGATAYACCCTCAGAGGAGATGAGAAAAGGTCATGGAGTTATTCTTATTGCATTCAAAGGGAGAGGGCTGTCACACAGGCATTGCAGGCGTTTTGCCCCAGGAATCTACAAATGGCAAGAACCAGAACTGTGGGTAATTCTGTAGCCCAGAACCACCTCACTTGGGGACTTGCTGGAGGAAGCRCTGGTAGCCCACAGTGTTCTTCCCATAGTCAATCTGCTTCTGCCTCCTTCGCAGGACAGCTTCATCTTGCTCCATGCCTGGTCTGGGGAGGAAGAGCAGTGCTGAGGCAGGGCTGGACCCCAGTGCTGCCGCTCCGGGTGCCAGTGCTGACCTGGAGGCCAAGCGGGATGTGTGCGGGATGCCTGTCCTCGTGCCCACACCAATGCTAATCATGTCCAGGCCGAGACCAAGGCCCTGGTGACAAGGTCTGCGCTGGGGAGAGGAAACTACTGAGCGGGCGGCTCTGCAGACTGGGCAGCTGGAAGCGCCAGGCTCCAGGGCAGGGGGCTGYCCCGTCCTATGGGAGCTCTGGCTCCTACCGCCCCCTAAGACTCGTTTTGCCGGGGTGAGCGCGACCCAGGCCCGCGGGAGCTCTGCGCAGGCTGGCCCCTCTCTCAGAGCCGCGGAGTGGGAATCGCTCCTCGCCCTGGCCCTGCGGCGCGAGCCCAAAGGCGGCTGCGCGARCCGAGCCGAGCCGCGCGGGCGGAGCCTCGCTTTATGGGCGCGGTCACGCCCCCCCGCAGGCGGGGCCGTGACTGGGCGAGCCTCCCGGGCCACGCCCCTCCCACGGGCCCATCTCCCCTCGGGACTCGCAGTGCTCGCGGCCTGGGTGCCTGTTCGCCGTCTCGATTGGCCGCTGCTGGAGGCTGGCGCCGTGATTGGCCGGCGAGGGCGGCGCGGGGCGGCGCGCGGGCAGCTCCGCGTGCTGTTCGCGTTCAGGCGCGGCCGCGGGCAGCATGGSCGGGCAGCTGTGCCCGCTGGGCGGGCGGGGTCCTTGCCCCGGCCTCTTGCTGCTCGAGCCCCCCCGTTCGCCGCCCGGTAGTCCCGAGCGGCCCCACACGCCGCTCGACGACCTGGCGCGCGGCTTCTGCCGGCTCAGCACGGCGGCCGGGTGAAGGGCGGCGGTGCCGGCCCGGGGCGGGGGAGGGAAGCGGGTCCGGACTGCGCGGAGCATCCGGGGAGCCCGAGTGGGGGCCCCGGTCGCACTCAGGGGCCCCTGCCCGCCCTGCCGTGGGGCGCCCCGCTCTGGCGCCAGCGGCGGCTCCCAAGGAGCGCGGAGCCGYGGCCGTGGGACCCCCAAAGCGGCGTCAGTGTGTGGCCGTTTGAGTAGCCTCCACAGGACCGCTTATTGAGCAGCCCTTCCAAACGCCTCCTTTTTATATCCCTTCTTTGCTCAAGTCTTTCATTGCTGACACAAGCATCTTTCTGGCCCCGTGCTACCCAGAAATATTTTTTACTGTGTTCTGAGCAATTTGTTGTTGGTGGTTCAAAAGACACCTATGGCAATTCTTGGATGACAGGCTTACATTTTGTAAAAGAAGAAGTTATTGCTTCTACAGYGGCCTCAGTGAAAAGAGGAGTTTAAATGAGAAGTTGCATTTACCCCAGTTAAAGCAGCAATTTCATGAACAGGTGAAATTAAATTGTGTTCTGTGTGCAGCTGCCTGTTGAAAATCTGACTGGCAACTCTCCTCCCTGCAGAGTGTCACAGCAGCTGCATGTGAGACCCTTGGTGGTAAGCAGCTCCACTCCCTGGAAGAAGGGCTGCCACACGCGTGAGGCTCAGCTGGAAGGCAGTGTTTGTGAGCAGCTTGAGTGCTGGCCAGCTGGCTGCGGTTCTCAGCATTTGCAGTGACTGTTTGCTGTCCATTTCAGCCACAGGTGCTGTGCTCTACACCAGCTTTCAAAGATGCTGTGCAGCAAGACAGCAGGGAGATTGATAGCCTCCCAAAGGTGAGCTTGCTTTCAGGCAGGTAAAGGACATAGATGTTCAGTGGTAGCTTGAGACTGTCCTCAGTACAGGAATCAGAATCTGGGAGGGGGAAAACCTCTGAATACTGCAGATCCCTCTATGAGTTTTGGAAGGGCAGTCCTTATGCAGGGATTTGTGCCTACACGCTGCCACTGTGATTTCTCCTATACAGATATTGGGGCTGAGGAAGCTGGTTTTCAGCATCCCTCAAGTGCTTCAGGCCTCTCTCATCCTTTTCAGGAGAGTACTTTGTTTAAGTACTTGGGCTGGCATCTACCACAGGCCCTGCTGTTTGAAAAGGAAGACCCTGACCCTCTGACCCACTTCACTCCTCCACTTGTGAGTTCATGCTTCAGTCTGCTAGTAGGGCACTAAGGCAGTAGTGTCATGGTGGCCCAAGCTTGGGTCAGGAAGGTCTGACCTTGCCTCTATGAATAAAGAACAGAGTACAGTCTGCTATTTGAAGAAATTCCAGTCAGAAACTGCAGCGATTCCTATGTACACATATATCAACGTATGGTGGTTTTGTGATGCAGGTAGTGAATTTTGCTATGGTCCAGCCATAGCTAATGCTCAGAGACTAACTTGCTCAACCATGCTAAGAAAGCTTCATCATCTGCAACTACTTTTGCATATAGGTCATATAGGACATAACCATTTTCTGTCCCTCTGGAAGGACACAGGGATCTTGCTGTCTGAGATGAAAGATCTGGGCAGTCCAATTACTGTCACAGAATCTCATAAACAGAGAATACTGAGGAGTCTGAGTGGTTTTGCAGAGTTGTTCCCTGATGAACAAGATGAGATGGAGGTAAGCAGGGAGGTGAGCATAGTATGTTTTACCTCATGGTGTGACATGTTGGATGGAGAAGTTAGCATTGCATAGTTTTTGCTGTCCAGAATGGCAAGGGTACYGTAAGCCTGTATGCATTAGAGAGCATTTCTGCTGTTCTTAAGTTGCTATTGGACAGCTTTAATAGTTGTTATTTAGAGGAAGTTCTAGGATCCTGGGTAGCAGATAGAAAGTGTAGACCTACCACTCTTCCATATCTGGGAAAATGCAGTTGACTTGAGACAGACAGAATAGCCTTCCTGGATATATGATATTCTTTTTGAAATGTATATTGCTTTTTCACATTGCTTTTTGAACATAACCTCCACATTAGCTGTGGATGCAAACGCAGGTTACCTCTGGTTGTGGCAACTGCATGAGTGCTCTGCTGCTGTCTAATGTTCCCTCTGCTTTTCAACTTCATATCCCACTCAGCAGAAACTGGTAGCTGGGGATCTGTCTTCCAGCATGGCTGTCTTGCTCTCTGGACCACTTCTGACCCAAGACATCAATATCAGTGAGGTAAGTGCATTTCCTTACAAACACCATATGGCAAAGGACCTAAACAGGGTCCAGGATCTGTGGCAACAGCTTTTACTGGTAGTCGGTTGGATTTGCATCATTTAGCATCTGCTGCTTGTCAGGGCAAGGACAGCTTTTACCTGTAACTTGACAGGACTGCGTGTAGGAGGGGAACAACATAATCTCACTGCAGGGTTTACAGCACTGGTCTTTCAACGTTATGTCCTCTGTGATTTTTTTTTTTTTTTTTTTTTTTCTATTCTGGGCCAGGTCTCCATGAACAGAAACCGTCTGTGCCACTCTCCTTCAATGCCAGAGAATTTGAACAGGCTAGTACTGAAGCGAATAGTAATGTGCCAGGATAATGAAACCCCTGTAAAGATGAAACGGAGGTGCAGCCGAGCRCACAATGAGCCAGAGCAGGTAAGGGAACTAGCCTGGGAATCTTCTCCATTTATTCTGTGATGTTTAAGTCCATCGTCTGCCCTTACCTTTGTTTGCAGTTAGAAGCAGCAACATCTGGGTCTGCACAAACAAACAAAAATCAGCTCAGACTGTGTGCTCTGGGGATAGCCTAGGCTGCAGATGTAGAAGCCTGAGATTCTWTAGGACTGTACTTCAACTGCAGTACTTGCATACTGTAGACAATTGATGATGGCTGTTTTGTTGCAGAATGTGACCCTGAAGAAGACAGACATCATCAAACTCCTAGATCAGGACAATGGTCTCAGACAGCTCATCGGGGACTTCTCCAAAGTAAACGTTTGCTCTAGCCCCCTGCTCTCAGAATAACTGAGAGGAAGCACTGTGGGAGACTTGGTTTGTAAAGCTGAATGACTCCCAGTTGCACAGCAGCAAGATTAAAATGTGAAAGGAATTAATTTGGTCCTTCTGTGAAACAAACTTATATTCAAATAAATTACCTGTAGCCATATGGCGGCATAAGAAAGAAGATGCTGATGATTTCAAGCGCGTCAATTTATGTATTCAGATAGATATTTTGGGGGTCTTTCAGGAGGGAAAGCAGGAACAGCTGCTCTAGGGGTGAGTGCTGAGGCTCTACTGGGCTTCAAGGGCAAGGAGTCTATCAGTAATTATTTTTTCTGAACTGCTGTCTTTTCAGGTGTATGCACTACCAACAGTGACAGGACAGCACCAAGATCTGCGCTACATCACTCCAGAGACTGTGAGCAATGGTCTTTCCGTCTGTCCACTCCCTGTGAGACTGGGTGTCTTTCTTGCCGTACCGAACCATGCTGCCCAATGGCTTCTTTGCCTTCCTCACTACTATGCTTCAATATCCAGGGAGTTTATTAAAACCTGGTGCTCTGTGTCACTCGTGTAGCCCTTGTGCTGTTTCTGGATGCTAGCTAAGGTCTTGGGTCTATGTATATTAATCCTACTGAAATGGCCCTTTCCCAGACAGCTTTTAGTCTGCAGCCAGAGCACTCAGTCTTCTCTCTCTCACTGCTTTTATTTTTCACCATTACAACTCTATGAAATACTTAAGATTTGCAGGTGGCTGCTCTGCTCTCTGRGCAATTTCAAAGCCTGATTGAGAAGTTTTACATCCTTGACTGCCGTTATCCTTATGAATACAAGGAGGGGCACATCAAGATTAAGCCATGGTAGAAGGGAGCTGAGAGGGAGAGTAAGGAGAATGGGTAAGAGGCTTAAAGAGATGAAACAAAACCACGGGAGACAACAGCATTATTGAGGTATTAAATGTATTTGTTATGGCAGACTATTGGATAAGGTGACATTGCTGAGGGCCAACRGTTGTCTTCTCCATGCAGGGAGCTGTTACCTTTCACAGGCAGGAAGACATCTTTGAGTTCTTCCTGAAGAAGCCTCTCCTCCCTTCTGTGCCACAGAAAGGCCTGATCCTTGTGTTTCACTGTGAATTCTCCTCTGAGAGGGGCCCCAAAATGTGAGCTCTGACCTTAAATATATCTGATGGGTGGGAAGAAAGTGCCTTTAGCAAAAATAATGGTTCAAGCTGAGATGTAATTCCCTCCCTTGCTGACTGCTCTATTCTTGGAATTCAAAGGTGTCGCTATCTAAGGGAAGAAGATTGTGCCATGAATGAGTACCCTGCACTGCATTATCCTGAGCTGTATGTCCTGAAGGGGGTCTATAAGGATTTTTCCCCTGAGTACRAGGTAATAGCAGGATCTCTGGGCAAGAGGAGGTAGAGTTAGGAGCAAATACCTTGTGAATACGCTGACACAGTTTAATCATCTACCTGGTGCCTATCTGTTATGGTCTCTTGCGTACCAGGAAGCCAATCACCTGGGTCACCTTCTCTCTTCTCTTTCCAAGTCTGTTTCATATTTAGAGATGAGGAGCCTAAAAAGACATTATATAGTTACATAATGATCTTTTTTTTTTTTTTTTTTTTCCTATACCTACTTGGTTCAAGTTTAAGTATTGGTTTTGCTCGTTACTGAGCTCAAAGAAACTGACTGTTCATCAAGGTCGTTAATAAAGATGTTAAACAGTATTGGACACAATATTGACCCCTGAAGGACACTACTGATGACTGGCCTCAAACTGGTCTTCCTGCTGCTATCACAAATCTTTAAGCCAAGCAGCTCAGTGAGGTTTCAGTCTACCTCACTGTCTACTTATCTAGCCTGTGTCTYATCAGCTTGTCCAGGAGGAGGAGGATGTTTCAGGAAGCATTGCTGAAAGTATTCCTGGAGATACACATCCACTGCTCTCCTCTCATTCACTAAGGCAGTCACTTCAGCATAAAAGACTATCATATTGGTCAAGCACAACCTCTTCTTTTTAAATCCATGCTTGCTACTCTAGATCACTTTCATATATCTGAAAATGGTTTCAAGGATTAGTTCCATTACCTTCACAGTGATCAAGGTGAAGCTGACCAGCTAGTGGTTCTCCAGATTGTCCTTGAAGATGAATACTTGTTTTCTTCTGGTTCTCATGAACTTCTCCCATCATCACAACCTTTTAAAGATAATTAAGAGTGATGTTGCAGTGACATCAGTCAGCTCCCTCAGTGCTCATGGCTGTATCCCATCAGATCCCATGGATTTGTGTGCATTCAAATTAAATAKTCTCTAGCCTGATCCTCCTCCTGTACGAGACAGGGTACTGTGACCCTGTCTCACCTGTAGGTCCTGACTACAAGATGGATCATGATTCTGCTCACAGTGAGAACATACTAACTGCTGTGACAGAATCTCTGGTTGTAACTGACCACCCTTCTCCCAATCCTAACTACTGAATGTTATGTATTTTTCCTTCATTCCTCAGGATCTGTGTGACCCCCAGAGCTACTGTCCAATGCACCATCAGGATTTCAAAGCAGAGCTAATGAAATTCCACATGAAGAGCAAGTCATGTAATGTGGAGCGGAGGAAGCGTGAGCAGATCACTCGTCTCATGAAACTGTGACCACCAAAGCAATAGCTGGAGCAGAAGCTTCATAAAAGGACTCTGTCTTTCAGAACAAAGCTATGGTCTGTGAAGGCAACCAGACTGGAAAGGTGAAAGAAAGCCTTGTCCTGTTGAGACTGCAAGGACAAATGAGATCTGTTTTAAGTTTTGATGTTGCCTCTGAGAGAGAGGCTCAACAGAAAGCCACAGATAAAAGGTGTAGCATAACTGCCTAGAGAAAGAACAAGCTTTGTTCACTAAAGACTGGACCTCCTGCTAGGCTATCTTTTAGACTAAAGGCTAAAAGACTGTGTGTCAATGGTTGGGCTCTCACAGCCTCCTGCTCCAGACATGGGTCTGCATGTTCCTGTTTAATGTAGATTTTTGTTGTTATTTGTCATGACTGGAATAATAAAGAGCTAGAACAAACCACGGTGTTTTAGCAGGGTTCTCCCCTCCTTGTGGCAATTCAGTGTTAAGAAAGGTAAGCATGCACATGTTTCTGATTATCTAAAATGGCATTTTCTTAGCCCGGTATCAGTCAGGATCAGTATGCCCAGCAAGTCAGTTTCCGGCAACTACCTCTATTGAAAATCAACAGTGAGAGTCAGAAAAACCGTAACTTCTCTGTTATGTTTTATTGATATGCCAGCCATGGCCTTCCCAAAGATCACCTATTAAACATCACTTGCARCTAATTCTTGAATAGCAGCTCACTGTAATTGAATTGCAGATATCTCCATTTAGACTGTTTGGGGTGGGGATGACAAGCCTGAATCTCTGATAGCTTTACATACGTAGCAGCAGCCACTAGAGGAGGTTATGAGACAGCTTTCTGTAGGAGAAAGCTGCTCAAATTGTTTCGAAAGATGTTTTTTATATCCTCCTATAGAGCTGCTAAGGGTGGCTGTTTTCAGAGACTGACCACAGCTGGATGAAGCTCTATCTTGCCTCTTCTACCACCCCAAAGYTTTGAAAGGGGCTCTGAGAATGTGTGTAATAGGAGAATGGCCTTAGTTTTGTGACCCCTGAAGTTCAAATATTACCAAGCTAAACAAATATTCATGCTAATTGTTGGTTAATTATCATGCAGTAGCAGTTTGTATATTAGCCAAGTTACCTCTCACCACAAAGTTTGCAACTTTAATTCAAAAAGGTACAAAATGGAGGCAATGGTAGCAGAGGATAAGAACCAAACCGCTTTTCTGTCAAAATTCAGTTAGGTGCCAAAGGACAAAGAATTGTAATCTACAGCCATTTGTTCTGTTGTTATCTTTTAACTTTTTCTGCCCCAAGGAGAATATTTTTGAGACATGAATCTCAGAAGATGGATCCATATTCACCTATCAGTTCTTACCTAGCAGAACCCATGTGAGAGCCCTAGCATCTTACTCCATGGTAAAAGAGAATCACCTTTCCCATGCATCTGTGGGGATGATAGGAATAAACATAGCAATATTTACTTCACACCACTTTGTGGATGCTTGTCTTTAATGTGTTGGGTGAGTGGCAAAGCTGTAGTTCCCTGGCCGCTTGCCTGTTAGGGCTCTGCCCAGGCCTCCCAGGATCCATCTGGGAAGGGACCCACAAGATGGCACTAATGCAGCACAGCCAGGGACCACGGCTATGCCCTGGCACAGCAACTGCTCTTCCAGCTCATCTCACTCCTAGGAAAAAAGAGAGGGAATGAGGACAGGTATCGCCTGGAAGATGGCACAAACAAACTGCAGAGCCTAGCAGCCTATCTCATGTTCCTGAGCCTTACCCCTCACCACCAGGGCAGACCCCAGTGCAGGAACCATAGGTATGTGATCAGGCAGAGATAGCTCTATACTCCTTTGTGTTACTTACTCCTAACTCTACTACATTCTCAACTCTGAGCACGCAGTGAGTTGGGCTCTGATCTGGGRCTTTAGCTGGGACATTATCTTCCATTTTATTACAAATTACCTAAGTCTTTAGAGATTCATGAGCATACTCGTGATACAGTTTCTTTAAAGTCTCTCACGATGAGCAGTGAGGTAGCATACCAGGCTGCTAATAGTATCTCATGGATAGTTCTTAGGGTCTTAGGGCTAGTAATAAACTGTATGCCTTTTTTTTTTTTTTTTTTTTTTTTTTTTTTTAAGGCAAGCAAATAAATTGGCAGTCCTAGAAACCTTGTTGCCAGGGGCAGGACTGGTAGAAAAGCCTTGTCCATCTGGACACAGCACCCGATGTAGTGGTTCAAAGTCCTGCCATGTGGGAGCGGCTGTACCTGGGTCTTTCCTGGCAGTCTCTAAAGCATCTAAAACTGCTGATAAGATGCAAAGTAAACATCAGTCCCTGTGGTGCTGCCCTGCCATGTGCCCATCTCTGTTATAGCCAAAAAGGTGAAAGTGTGCAGGACTGGTTAAAATAAAGTCCTATTGAAAGTAGCTGGAGCCTCCATTGTCATCCTCCAATCACCCTCACCTGGAGGGTGTCCGAATGAACAGAAACCCAGTCTCTTTCACTRCTGAAAGTAGCTTGTGGGATTGCTACTGAATCTAGGGAAACTAGCCTTACACACGTTCTTACACCCTGATTCTCTTGCATCTGTTTAGACACCTTGTCAGCCTACAGAAGCAGTAAAATCTTGCTCTGAGGTCCATTATTTTTCTGTCTGTAACCATGCTCAGTACAGCCTGTATTTCTGTGACTACTGCTCCCAAGGCACTGCAGTACGTGTCTGAGGCTGACTTGCCGCTGCCACGTCTGTTGTCCTGCATGTTCATTTAGCTTCACTTCAGGCAAGGAAAGGGCAAGTAGATGCTTTGGCAATATGCATTCTCAATATATCAGGATCAAAACAACAATCCAACATTTGCAGCGCTCATTGTGCATCACTTAAATGTCTTCTAATCAAAATGTAGTGAAAAGAATTATTAAGAYTAACTCTGGGATGAGATTGCTACTTGCTCTATGTTTTTGTATTTGAAAAAAAAAAATAAGGCTCAAAGTAGTACAGCAGTGTTGTTAGAAGGAACTTGTTCTTTTCTGTAAGGAAAACTTTGTGATTCCCCTCACAGTCTCCTGAGCTGTTCATGACTTAGGTTGCTCCAGAACCTGTCAGTCAAATGTGCACACTAGTCATGCAATTGGACAAGCAGGTGGGAAGGCATTTAGCGATTCTCTAGTCCGGATCCTGCTCTAGGTGCTCTGTGTGGTACTATCATCAACACTAGAGCAGGTCAGGCTTTTCCTACAAGCCTTGAGATATGCTCAAAGATGGAGACTCCAACATTTCCTGGAATAACCTTTTCTAGTATTGCACTAACTAGTGAAAAAGCTTTTTCAGTGTCCTGTCTGAATCCCTCAAGCTACTCCTTGTGGCCACTATCACTTGCTATATCACATGCCAAACGCACCCAGTTCCCTTAACCTCTCTTTGCAGGGTCATAGGCTACCATCTTCATAGCTATCCACTGGATATTCCCTAGTTCTTCCACATCCCTCTTGAGCCTGATGGGTAGGAAACTGCACATAGTATTTCCAGACACAGCTTCACCAGTGCAAAGCAGAAAGGAAAAGCTTTCCTCAATTCCCTAGTGATGCTCTTCCTAAGATAGCGTAGTAACTGGTTTGTYTTAGGATGATGGCACACTGGTGCAACATCCAAGTTCTTTTCAGTGGGGCTGCTTCTCAGTCAGTTCTCAGTCTGTATGTATGGGATCATTCTTCCCTGTTGCAGAATTTCAAGCTTCTTCCTGAAAATCACAAGTCTCTGTCAGGCCAGGCCTTGAATTTCTCAAGGTCCCTCTGCACTAAAGCTCTGTTTCTCAGCACATCAATCACGTTAATCACTCAACAAATATCACATAAATTTGCTAGTTCCTGTTTTCTGTGGAATGACTTGAAGAGAGTTATTTTAACCAAAGATATAGTCTATCTATTGAGATACATAATATTGTAGCTATGCAGACAAACATCTAAATGTCTTTGTCTTTTAGCCTTCTTGTTGTGAACAAAACTGAGGCTAAAATAAAGGACTAGYTTTGAATGCTTTAATGATAGAAGAAAAATAATAGCACTATTGGAGCCCAAAGTGGCCAAATGCCACAGGTACTGAAGCAAATAAATAAATACATAAAATTTGGAAAATTTGAATAGCTGCTTTAGTTCGCAAATACATGAACTGTCTTTGGCAATGAGTAGCCAGAGCTGTTTAGGGCACTTGCACTTGTGTTAGGAAATGAAAAAGGTTTTGTTTGGTTTTCTATGAATATAGACATTAACTTCTGCTGGCCTGTTTGTTTTAGGTTAATGTTTCTATAGTGTACAGGTGTTAATGTGAGTTGTGAGTGTCTGGTGTCTGTCTCTAGCCCTGCAAAGAGTAGAGCGTGGTGCTGTAAATATTAGCCCAGGCAAAGAAGTGTTTGCACAGCCTTCCTCTATGCTGCCTCCTGCAGTAGTAAGCTATTAGTAAGTAAGTAAGTAGTAAGTAAGTAGTAGTAAGTAGTAGTAAGTAAGTAAGTAGTAAGCTATTAGTAAGCTATTAGTAAGTATTACTATTAGTATAAGCTATTAGTCTTACAAATGGTCCAGGCTCAGCTGCTCAAGTTTCAGCATCTTCTGCTCACTGACAGGCAGTGAGATTCATCAGTGGCAAGCTCTGGTTTTGACTCAAAAAGGGTTGTTTCAGTGATCAAATTCTGTAAAATATATCTTCAGAAGATGAGCACTATATTAAATAAGATGCAACTGAGTAATTTGGCATATATTGCAAAAAAAAAATTGTTTGGTCAAACCCTTTCTTCAAACCCTTTCTTCTCTGACTGTGGTAGTCCCAGGTGCAGAGGAGAAATGCCTAGTACATCACCCAAATTGTTGCATGCTTTAATACAGTGGTATACCATCATTTTGGAGATTTTGTAAGGATCTTCCCACCAKTGTAGAGAGGAGCAACTAATGATAAAACAGCACTGGCATGTTGAAAGGACTTGATCCACAGAACAGCGTCTGCACCTCATACATATTCTAAAATAAGATGTAACATGGATATGTATGACTGCCATGCATCCAAACCAGTTGAATGAGTTCTTACTACAACTTTTAAGAACTGTATCAACTCCTTCATAGCCTGGATGCAGTCTGAGGAGATAAAATGTGATAGCTCTAATGAACTTCAAGAATAACACAAAGAATTCCTGACTGAAATTCTCTTGGTAAAAGCCCAAGCTTTTTTTTCCCCTATCACAGAAA